AAGCCTCAGGCTTCCAAACGGAAGTGCCTGTACAACGTTGGAGAGCGTTCAGACGGAGGGGTACAGCGATTACAACCGTTGTACTCAGGATACCACCACTTGGGGACCTAGTGGCAGAGTACAACGGTGTAAAGCTGTTTACAACGGTTAGGGACGGGAGGCAGATGTTCGCTGTGTGAACGCCGGTAAGTACACCGGTTGGAACCATCACCTATTCCGTTATAAATCCCCCGTCTCAACGCACCCACTGAGTCATGTCATGGCAGCAGCATGACTCGGCCAGTGAAATAAAGGCATTTAAACTTGCGCCATGGCGGCATGACTTGGCAAGTGAAATTCTCCATTATACTCCACGGAGGCAGTCCCCATAGGATATAATGAAGCCGAATAAATTCGGGTTTCCTGAATACCAATACAATACCGATATTCAGGAATATTCAGGAATACAGATATTTTTCAGTTTGAATAGACCCGATTAGGTAAAAAACTGAATTTTCTGCACACTCCTACTAGTAACATCTAGATTAGATTGCTTCAATGTGGTCTATGTGGGGCTGCCCTTGAAGACTGCTTAGAAGCAACAGTTGGTAAAGAATTCTTCAGCCAGAATGTTGATTGGAGTGGTTTGTAGGGACCATATCATGCCTGTCTTGTTCCATCTACACTGGCTCCCAATTTGCTTCTGGGTATAATTCAAGATCCTGCTACTGACTCTTAAAGCCCTATATGGGTTGAGGGCCAACATAGATTAAGGACTGCCTCCTCCCATATGAACCTACCCAACCACTCTGGTCATCTTTGGAGGTTCTGCTTCAGGTTCCCCGGGCATCTCTGTGGCAACCCAGAAAAGGGCCTTCTCAGTGGTTTTGCTTTGGAACTCCCTCCCCAGGGAGTGTTGTGTGTCTTCCTCTATCCTTGTCTTTCACCAGGAGGTGAATACATTTTTTTGTTCTGTTTGGCATTCCCTCACTAACTTTTATTAGCCCTCTTCTCGATTTATGTGTTTTTATGTGGTTATTTAATTGTTTTCATAATTTATATATATTTTTATATTTTCAAAGTTTTAAATGTTTGTAGTGTGTGGTAATTTTTGTTGCCTTGGGTACCCAGAATTATGTGAAAAGGTAGCAAACAAATATCGTGAATAAATAAAATAAATACAGTAGAGTAAGAAATTACATGTATACTAATGTGAGACAATAGAAATCACACTGACATTTCATTTATACTCCGCCCTTCTTCCATGGAGATCAGGTAAGTATGCATATATTTTTAAAAATTTTCACGACAGTACTGAGATATAGAAAGTAGGCCAAAGTCACCATTGTAGTATAGAAAACAGCAAGAGTCCAGTAGCACTTTGAAGACTAACAAAATCTGTGATAGGGTATGAGCTTTCGTGAGTCACTGCTGAGTTCTTCAGATACAGTTAGAATGGGAGTCCATCTGTCCTATATATTCGAAAGTGGAGTGATTTCAGATGCTGAATGACTTTAGGAGGCAAATGACAATAGCAGGTGACTGTCAATAGCAGGTGTGATTGAATTAGGTGAGATATGCAGAGGGGTAGTAGGTGTAGAGAAATCAGCATTGGTAATGAGACAGGAAATCTAGGTCTTGATTCAGTCCAGGTGGGTGCATTATCTTGAGCTTCATTATCAGTTGCAATCAATGTTCCCTCTAAGCTGTGGAGTCTTGTGAGCAAAAAATTCTACTTTGTGAGCTACTGGGCTGGCATTAAAGTTGTGAGCAAATGATTTGGCTACTGCATAAGTTAGTTTGCTCTGGAGCCATTCTTCCTGAGCTAAGACAAAAATGTGTGAGCTGGAGGCTAACAAACTGTGAACTAGCTCACACTAATTCAGCTTAGAGGGAATACTGGCTGCAATTCAGGAGTCCCTCTTTCTAATCTCCCTTTGAAATTCCTTTGTAAGAGAACTGCTACTTTTAGGTCAGCAACTGAATGTCCTGGAAGGTTAAAATGTTTCCCCACCGGTTTTTGAATGTTGTGGTTCCTAATGTCAAACTTACATCCATTAATTCTTTGTTGAAGGAACTGGCTTATTTGTCCAATGTAGAGGGTGGAAGGGCTTTGCTGACACGTGATGGCATAAATCATATTAGAGGATGAGCAGGAGTATGAACCTGAGATGGTCTGGCTGATGTTGCTGGGTCCACTGATGGTGTTGCTGGATCTATATGACAGCAAAGTTTGCATCTTGGTTTGTTGCAGGCCTCGGTACCAGAGTCCATGTGACTGTTGAGTAGTTTGTCCTTGAGGGTGAGAAGTTGTTTTAGGTTAGCAGGCTGTCTGTAAGCAAGAAAAGGTCACACACACACAGTGCCTATGTGAGGGAAATGTCCCTCTCCAGCATTTGTTGTTAATAATGCATTGAACGGGCTTGAGTTGTGAGCTGTAGGTGACCACCAGTGGTGTTCTGTTGTCATTTTCCGTGGGCTTGTCTTGTAGCAAGCTGTCCCTGGGTATCATTCTGGCCTTTCCAATCATCTTTCTTATCATATCAGGAGGATATTGTAGTTGCAAGAATGCCTGTTGCAGATCCTTCAAGTGAGAATCTCTGGTCCTTTCCACATTTGCTTACCACTCCCGATTTTCTCAGTGTTCAAGTCTAGGCAATTTAAGTCCATGGCAAAACAGCATCCAAACAACCCAGGGCAACAGCAGGCTGAAACCAGGCTGACTATCGAAGGGAGGTAATGTAATGCAGAATGGGGGGAGAAACCCTGGATTCAAAAGAAGGTTGAACATGATTTTAGTGCAGAATTGCTTGGAGGACACCATGGTGAACATGGATTAAAAGGAGAGGGCAGAAAGGGCCTCTGTCTGAGATGCGACTGTAGCATAGGGGCTTGGATATACACAGTAGATAGTTTGATGTGGTAGCGGTGGTAGCTGGAGGCATGTAGATATGTTTGCCGATCTGTCGGTTTCCGGTATAATGTGGCACTTGTGTTTCCCTTGTGTATCCTTACTGTGGTGTCCAGGAAGTTTATTCCTTGGCCCTGTCCACACGAGAGGATTAGGGCCGGGAGAGGGACGGAACGGGGGTGGAGCAAAGCGATCCCACCGCAACATCTGGGAAGCGTACCGTGTCCATCCCCGATCCAGCCCTTCCAGCGATGATCCACACCAAAAAAGAACCACCTACCGAGGTGGTTCTTTTCGAACGGCTGCAGCAACGCTGGCCGTGGGATCGCCGGCACGTTCTTTCGCCGGCGCATCCCCGGCTCCTTGCCAAACTGTGCATGCTCCGACATGCGAAGTTCAGCAGACTCCCGTGCTTTTCTCCCCGTCTCCCCGGCATCTGATCGTGCCGGGGAGCAAATGCACAGCAGCTCAGGGGATCTGTATGATCCCGCCACAGCGTGCCTATTTAGGTGCGGCTTTTTAAAAGCCGCACTTTGGCCATCCCTTCTTCCCCCTTGTGGCAGGGGCCCTTGTGTTGAATAATTCATACTAAGATTGATGATGAGGTGGAAGTTGTAGAAGGCCTGGTGGAATCTCTCAAGGGCTTCTTTGCCATGGTCCAGACAATAAAAATGTTATCAATGAATCTTAAGTAAAGGAGAGGTGCCAATGGGTAGGAGTTCAGAAAATGCTGTTCTAGATCTGCCATGAAAATGTTGGCATGCTGTGGAGCCATTGTAGCAGGGGTCATTTCTTGCGGGAGCGCACAGGAGTGGAGCTCCGGCAGTAAGGAGCCCAGGGGGCAGGCACATGCAACAAGCCCTGCCCCCTGCTCCCAGCAGCCCTCAGTTGGGCCACGAGGAGCAAGAAGCAGCCAGGTAAGTTGCAGAGCCCCCCCCCGGGCCCGCCTTCAGGTACAAGCTCTCCCTCCTCTGTGAGGGCAGATCTGCGCGTTCCCCCCCCATAGCTAGCAATCCAAAACAGTCCAGTGGCACCTTTAAGACCAAGTTTTATTCAGGTACAAGCTCTCCCTCCTCTGTGAGGACAGATCTACACATTCCCCCCCTCCCCAATAGCTAGGAATCCAAAATAGTCCAATGGCACCTGAGCGGTGGGTGTTGCCTTCTGACACACTTCCAGTGATGTCAGGGGGCATGGCATATGCAAATAAGTTATGCAACTAAGTTATGCTAATGAGCTCCTGCCCCTCTTTTTCTATGAAATCATCCCTGCATTGTAGTATGGAAAACATTTAAACCTCCACTGCAACCACAGAATCAAATGGATCTCCCACAGATGGATATTCAATAGATGCCTGCAACATTGGCCCAATCCTGCTCCACAGAGTAGTAATAATCACAATTGATGCACTGGGCAATGTAGGAACACTACCATATTCCCCAGAAAGAGAAC